GTGATTTATTAAAATATTTGGTTAAGAAATTAAACTAATTTTATGTTGTTGGTGCTTGTTTACACAGTGGGACGGCATCAGGTAGTACACATTGAGACGGTGTTTTACTATGTACTGCTCATGGTAAGTTAAATGAATGTTTATTCATGAGAAGAAAGTTTAACCCACGAGCCCTAGCGAGTGGGTTAATTTTCTTCGAATGAATAAACATTTTAACTCACGTGATGTATACAAAATTTTATCCTATTTTGTGGAAATTTGAGAAATAAAGTACAAGAAAAAATGCCGGGAGTGAGTTAAATAGTACATTAAAATACAAGTTTCGTCTTATGAAACGAATATTTTATACTATTTTTTCTATTTTGGTATTGTTTAATTGAAAAAAACAAACTTTTCTTGGAAATTTTATTCCATATTTCCTGATTTCATATGTTTAGGTTGGCAACACTACATGTCAAATATAGAAATCTTCTATTATTTTTTATCGCGAATGACAGTTCAATAGCCATCAATCAGCTAGTGTTACCAACCTCCAATAAGTAAAAAAGGAGTGTTACAAAGAGCTTCTTTTCGAAACTACTTTTAGTGTCGAAAATACTTCGATATGACACCAAAATATTTTAAATCACTGAGGTTTCAGATTTTTAGTTGGGCAGAGTAACCTAAAATGCCAAGAGTGAGTTAAAATGTATTTAAATCACTGAGGTGATAAACGTCTACTTACCTTTATTGTTTTGCGTTCAATAATGTCATTTTCAAACGTCAAATTGGGATAATAGTTATTTATACACCAAGTGAGTTAAATGAATGTTTATTCATGAGAAGAAAGTTTAACCCACGAGCTCTAGCGAGTGGGTTAATTTTCTTCGAATGAATAAACATTTTAACTCACGTGATGTATACAAAATTTTATTCCATTTTGATGGACATTTGAAAAATAAAGTACTTAATAGAAATCAAATTATAAAAAGAATTCACTTAGCGAGCGCATATCTAATATTGCAACTGGTAGTTACTATGGCATAACTAGTTGTTTGTTTGTATTTTTATCCTATTTTGACGTTTAAAAATGACATTATTAAACGCATAACAATAAAGGTAAGTAGACATTTATCACCTCAGTGATTTAAAAACATTTGAACTCACTCTCGGCATTTTAAGTCACTCTGCCCAACTAAAAATCTAAAACCTCAGTGATTTAAAATATTTTTAACTCACTCCCGGCATTTTTCCTTGTACTTTATTTTTCAAAATGGGATAAAATTTTGTATACATCACGTGAGTTAAAATGTTTATTCATTCGAAGAAAATTAACCCACTCGCTAGGGCTCGTGGGTTAAACTTTCTTCTCATGAATAAACATTCATTTAACTCACTTGGTGTATAAATAACTAGTAGCAGATTTTTATACTAGCAAAGTGACTTAAAGACCAAGAGTGAGTTAAAAATATTTTAAGTCACTCAGGTGATAAACGTCTACTTACCTTTGTTATTATGCGTTCAATAATGTCATTTTTAAACGTCAAAATGGGATAAAATAATATTCTGTTCTAGAAGGGAAACGAAGACACAAACTTGAAAATGGTGAGACTCAAAGACAAGTCTAGAAAAATAGGGAAAACGTCCGGAGAAGATATGGCTGCAGCTATCAAGCTAGACTTATCTAGAACTAGTGGAATTCCACTACAGACGTTGCATCGATACGTGAAAAAGACCCAATTACATCCAGGTACTGAAATATGAACGCAGCCGCATTATGAAATTAGGCAAAGATTTAGCAGAGAACAGGAAGCTAATCTTGGCGAGTATTTACAAATATGTAGTAAAATGGCGTATGGATTATCAACTGTAGCTTTAAGAAAATTAGCTTATGATATGGCAAAAGAGAACAACATCAAAATTCCACAATCGTAGGAAGAAAAAAAAAATTGTTGGCATAAAATGGATGAGAGGTTTCTTATATCGCAACCAGAAACTAAAGGCGATTTCGGCAAGCTTTGGTACATGGTTTGGTACCCTGTTTGGTCTGTCAAATGCGAACCAACCAATTTCGGATACGAAAATGATATCACCGTGACTTTGGTATCCTTTTTGGTCTATCAAATAGGATACCGTGGTCAGCAGCACGGTTCTTCTCATTTGGTTTTGTCTTGCTCTGGGAAATGTAAATAAATGGAAGTTTATTAGAATTTGAAATTTTCAACAAATATGTTTGTTTTTTTCGCCTTCATCTTCCTATTTTCTCTTATATTCTAATTGCCAAATAATGTTTACCGATCATTTGAAAAATGGCTTTGAACGACATACATGGGGTAACTGTTTTGCTGAATGGATTATGAAATAAGCTTTACATTTACAGAAAACGTTGAGTTAGCCAATAGGTTACTCAAAGGTACTGTTTAGACAGTGGTGATTAGTGATTATAGGTTTTAGTCAGTGCAGTCAGTACCTAGTCACTCCCAAAACTAGAAGAATAACATAAAGTTAGGTTAAGGCTCATCTCTTCCCTTCTCTCATGACCTACCAAACGAATTCAGAACAAAATGGTGTCTTACGTCATTTCTATGAGGTTGCAGATACCAATTGGTTAACCAAATGGTATACTAAACAAAACTTGCCGAAATTGCCCTAAGTATTAGAAAACCTGAAGCTTGCAGTCTATGTAGACTAACATCGTTTTAACAAGCACAATGTTACAGTATTTTTTAATAACATGGAGTCCATTTTGAAACGATTTCCATAGCTAGCAGTTGGATCACGAATCTTCAACTTGGACGAAACCGGCCTGACTACAGTTTAAAAACCCAAAAAGGTCATTGCACACAAGGGAGTAAAACAACTAAACCAGAGTACTAGTGGCGAGAGGGGAGAACCAGTAACTCTCTTGGTGGGTATTTTAGGTGCAGGAACATTTATACCTCCAGTAATGATTTTTCCTAGGAAAATTTTCAAACAGTATATGATTATTGGGACACCAACTGGAACACTTCGCCTACCTAATTCATTTGGGTGGATGAAAACAGAACTATTTGTTTCTGTAATGGAACATTTCATCAAATACACAAGTAGTACAAAAGATAACCCCACTTTACTCATATGTGATAACTGATAACTACAAGTCCTATATGGGTATTCAAATTTTAAACATGGCCAAGCAGCATGGAGTCATAATGTTAACATTGCCCCCGCACTGTTACTGTAGCCCTAAGATGCATCCATTAGATGTAACAGTCTTTGGGCCATTGATGGCATACTACAATGCAGAAGTCGAAATCTGGTTGGCTAAAAATCCTGGTATTCCCATTACTATAAATACCAACTTATTGCTGAAATGACTGGAAGAGCTCTATCTACCAAAGGCCGTGACACCTTCAAATGTAATTTCAGGCTTCAAGAGGTCCGGAATATTTCCGGTTGACCGGGATGTATTTACAGATGCTGATTTTTTTACTTCTTCAGTAACTGATAGACCTCTAGAACATCTTGAGGCCTCTATTTCTGTTGGAGAAAGATCTACTGAACCTGAAAATAAAGAAAATGAAGAACCTGGAGTAGTTGAAAACAACCGCAATCAAGAAAAGGAAACGGAATTTATCTCCTCAAAAATATTTTGTGGATTTCCTAAAACTTTACCACGAAAGAAGAAATCATATGAACGTCAACGTGGAAGAAGCACAGTGTTGACGGATACGCGAGAAAAGGACCTTATTGCTGCAAAAACAGAGAAGAAATTGGAAAACCAGTTGAAAATGCAAAAAAGCAAAGAAATAAAACGTGTTACCAAGGATTTATTTAACAAGACTACGAAAAATTCAATGACTCAAGATAGTGACAATACATCAAACTATCAAATGACAAAGATGATTCTCAGGTAAACAATGGTAATATCTCTATGAATTCTAAAGAAATTAAACTTTCATATAATTTATGATGATCAGTCATCAGATGAAGAAGCATCGTTGACAGAGGTTCAAGAATTGAAAAGAACGAGAACCTATCGTTAACGACTATGTTATGGTTTGGTTCCCGAATGATGTCTTCTTCGAGGCAAAGATATTAATAGGGAAAGACGCAGCAAAGGATTATGAAGTATCTTACCTTAGGAAGGGCCTAAAAACCAACGGATTTACATTTCCAAAAAGTCCTGATTTAACTTCAGTGAACCAGTCCGATATCGTTATGCTTTTACCGCCACCAAGTGCAATGAAAACTAAACGTTTGAGCATATGCTTTCCAACTTCTTTTGAAAATTTGAATGTTCGCTAAGTCAATGTACACAAATTAATATGTTTTGACTAGTGTAACATGAAAAAAAAAAAAAACCGGTGTCTCATTGTGCACGACTGAAGATATTTTTGTCTTACTGTGGACTACCTTTCCCTACTGGCTCTTGAATCACTAGAATTTTTTTTAGATGAATTGAAAAGCCTTGAATAGTTTAACTTTTGATTATTATTGGCTCTTGAATTCCTATGCAAAAATTCAATTTAAAAATATTGCCAATTTGCCTACAAACATTATATTGAAATGTTGCGAAAGTGAGATCAGAGTAATATTGCATTAGGCTTTCGTATATGACATTGTATTTTTAGTGGGTCTGAGGTACTGAGATCCATGATATTTTATCTACAATTGACTGTAACTATATAATAAGGTATACCACCACACGATTTCACATGCGATAAGTACCATATTACCGCATGTTGTACATATAGTTGTTTCAGGAATCAAGTACCTACTCGTCCACTGTCAAAGGTGATATACAGATAGTCAGAGACGCAATTTTATTTTCTATAAATTTTCAAATATTTTGTTAAGTACCGCACGGTTGTAGATAAAATACTGTATACAATACACAATGGTAATTAAATTATTATTAGATATTGCAAATCTCGTTCTCATATCCATAAATTTATCAAGCAGGCTATGAAAGGACTGCAATCCGTCGGCACCCAAAAACTACCCATTAAAACGACCATTGCTAGTAATCCAAAACCTACCTTTACCATTTAATTCGCTTCCAGAATCCTCGGAAGGCGGTCCAGGCGGTGCACGTAACCCGTGTCCTAAGCCGTGCGGATACCGGTGCCGGTTCAGCGGCGAAAACGCGCCGGGAAATTGTCCCAGTAGCTGAGCGGCACCGGGAAACTGTAGAAGCGGCGCCCAAGGTGGTCTGGGCGCTAAATGGGCGGCCGCCGCCGCATAGAGTTGTAGAGGCGGAGGCAGCACCCCCGACTCCAGGACCATTTTGCTTAGATCTCGGGACACTTTGACGGCTTATTTTATCAACGAATTGTCATGTCACTCTATTAACAGAATTATTGTCTTAATCTATATCCAGTTTTTGATTGATACCATCACAAATATCACTCGCGTTATCAAAGTTTTTTTGAACAAGTCCAAGGTCGCTAAAATAAAATCACGATAATCGAGTTGTTGAAATTTTAAGAGCCGGTTGATACTCGGAACTATTTCGAAGCCAACTGTTTGTCGATGTTATTTCTTCGGTGTAACGGACCGGTGGCCGAGGCGTGCCCGGAGCTTTCGTTCTCGCTCCGGCAAAGTCCGGGATTGGACGGGGTCCGGGACGCCTCTGGTTTCCCGCTCCGCCCTCGATATCAAGTTGAATATCATTACCAGGGGGAAAAATATAAGGTGGTGTCAATATGTTTTGTTATTTATCGCGGAAATTGATGGGCCCTTTTTTGGGCTAGTTGAAATTTAGCCTTTATTATTTTTTGATGGATTGGCGGCGTGATGCGACGCTTTTTCGGTCTCCTGCCAGTTAATTACTGAACGCGGCGAAAGGGAGGGGATGTTGCAGTGGAGGAACACTTTACATAATAGGGGATTTAATTTTACTGTTGGGCCATTAATTATTTTATTATATTGCCTGGAATAATTAACAAAATAAAGGGCTCCTACCAATTACCCCATCATCAACCTCTTGACAGTTCAAATTATTTGCCTTGTAGGTGCACCAGCAGCAACTTTAATAGAAATGTAATTTAGAGTTCCCTCGTTGGAATTTTTTCAATCAAGCCAATTCGTTACGGTTAATTTTTTCGTAGATTGGCTGATTAAAATGTCAGGGAGGGCATATTGAAAAATCTTTTGTACGCTAACGATGCTTTTCTGTAACGAAAAAACTTCTATATACCATACCAATAATACCATGTCGGGGTATATCGAATAATTCAAGACGCGGACGTCCAATAAAATAAATAGAAAAACCAATAAAATAAACGAAACAAGGCCCCCGGACTTCGGGACCGATTGTATTTGTGACGTGACAATTGACTGGCGAATTGTGGTTTTATATCGTCCCTTTATTTCGAATTCTTTTCCGATATACGCTTACGTTGCAGAAATTTTATTGACTTTGGAAATTGTATTGGGATTTGCATCCAGGATTTGTTCGGGGGTTTTTTCGGAGGAGATTTACGATGTTGCGGGGCTCGGTTTTCGGAGATTCGTTTTCCGCCATTGCATAATGATATTGGACATGTGTAGTTTTTTTACTGAAGGAACGTTTCAAATTTGATGATTCAACCATGAGAATCAGTAGACATCAATTCTTTGTTGTTTAATTTCAACTGGGCAATGGAAAAAACTGCTCTACAATTTAAAAATCCAAAGTTGTAACTGAGTGCAAAGCCGGAACTCAACCGTAGAATTACACATACAGGATATTTCATTTGAAAAACAAAGTTGGACTGGATAGCAAACAAACCAGAAGTGACAGAGACAATTCGTCTAGGTAGAAATATGGGAAATAATTTACTGAGCAACTTTCATAGAGGTCACTTTTTCGTATACGAGGACGAGGTAGGTACCTAATTAAAAAATTACATGTAGGTATTATGCGCGACTTTTTTACCACTCTGTATAAATATCCCTCGTAGTGTGTCAAAATTTCACTTCTTTGCAATGACATCATATTACGTTTCATTAGGCAATTCAATCCATCTTTCAAAAAGGAAAATTCAATGTGAAGTGGCGGCCAAACAAGTTTGTTTTGAATATGTTTTTATGCGTATTCTAAATTATTTTGCATACAGTTTTGCTTACAACTTTGATTTTCATTATTAGGTCGGCATACACACACGTTATTTCGCGCGGTTTATCGTGGCGTGTTGGGATGTAGCAGTTTGCACGCGCGAAAGAACGGCGTGGCAAAAAAAGCGTCATGTTCCATACACTTGACAAAGTATTCAAATGATTTAGCACGTGATTACGCGCGGCGTATCAGTTGGAAAGGAAAAACCGTATGTGTATGGGTAAAAAGTGTCATTTATCGTGTCGTTTGGAAGTGCATGTTGTCATGTACTAATTTTCAACGTGATAGTTTGCTACGCGGCGTTTATGTCTCCGTATTAGCCTCAAAACCGTGACGTGGAATGGCGTGTGGGCACACACACTATCATGTACTTGAGTACTGAGACGTCACATTCCAGATGAAAGCACGTCTGAAATCCCTTCCCATTCTATCATTGCGCGTAGTGTTCCTCACTCACGCACATGATTTTTCACAGATTTTTGCAGACGACACGATAAACCGCGCGAAAAAACGTGTGTGTATGCCGGCCTATTTAATAAAATATTTGTTGACTAGGTACCTAAACTATTAATTCGGGCAGAAACTAGATATTTTTTTGTGTTTTTTTGCTCATGTGTGGCCGCCACGCCATCTTGAATGTCACGTGGTTTGAAATGCCTGTTGGAATTTTGACGTGATACGAAGGATATTAAAAGAGTATAGAATTTGCCAATTGCAATGATTCCCACTGTACATAAGGCATAACATTATTGGAGAAATAAGTTAAGATTATTTTGTAGCGTTTATACAGACACATAATATGAGAAATAATTTTCAGCCAATCAGCTGTAAGAAAATGATCACGTGTTTTCTGTTACTGTATCGAACTCAAACTAATGAAGTAAGTAGTATAGGTTTTTTCTGTTATATTCAGGATGACGTCATCAAATAAGGAGAAACAATGTTCTCAATAGAGAGTTATTGGACGTGCAATAAAGACAAGCAGTATTTAAATCAGCCTTATTTTGACATCTACGCATGCGCATTTGGGTCCGAAAATAAGGATTCTCTTAATAGGCGGTTACACACGGACGTGGATGGCTTGATACATATACGTGCATACATCAACGTGCAAACAACAACGTGCATGGCGCCTTTGTACAGACGCTCGCACAAAATTGCAGTCTTGCCATTCTTGCTACAGTAATCCGAGTGTGCATACAAAATTTCTAGCGATTCCACATTCAAAAATCCACGTCCGTGTGTAACCACCTAATAAGGTTACTGCTTGTCTTTATTTGCGTATGGTTAGTGCGAGGCAGTAAACTTCCCTTATTTTAAATTTCTGACATTTTGGACGACTTTGACATTTCGCTTTTCGACGATGACGTAATTTTACTTAGAAAATTTATTTTTTACAATAGTTTTCCATTTTACTGTGAATAACATAAAAAAATGGGTATCAGCAGAAAAACCACAAACAAAAATAAACACTTTCTGAGGCTGAAATTTATAAACATAGCTATCAGCTGTCAAAATTATGAATAAAAAATAAGGTAACACTCTAGCACCTACTAGCCTTCCAATAACTGTTTTTTTTCTTGGAAAAATAGTGCTGATGCACTAATAAAATAACGTAGATCCTCAATACTGCGAGGCAGTATTTAATAGTTCCAATAACTCTCTAATGTCTATTTTTTTTTTTTATAATTTACTAGAATGTCATGTGTCAATAATTCTGACAACAGCTAAAAATAACGAAATGAAAATGTTTATACAAGTCATGCAACGTCGCGCGCCGTTGCCAACCAAAACCATCTGAAATTCCCCTACTTTAAATGTGTTGCAATAACTAATAAGTAAATTTAAATTTACCGCGCAAACGGCGTAGTAAACGGAAGTATGTACCGCGACAGCCAATAAAACTCTTCGTTTTATTAGTTGTTGCAACTTGTTCCGTGCGTGGCGCTGCGCAACGTCCAATGAAAAGTTTTCTCCCTAGAGGGGTATAGAGAATTGAAGCGACATTAGGAAATCGGGTGTCTTTCTTGGCCACTTGGTCAGCCAACGTCAAAATGTACGCATCTCAGAAGAAAAGATGTTAATAAAGTGATGTCTAATCAATCAGTATTTTCATTTATTATTAAAATATACAGTCCACTGAAGTAATAATCCAATTAAAAGTGAATTAAAAGTTGCAGTATGTGTTTTCAACTATTAAAGTCAAGAATTATAAATTATCAGTAAAACATCACGCCAAAATGCGTCAAAAAGTACTTCTAGTTTTGTTAGGTTAGCAGCAGAAATTTACTAAATGTGACGTCATCCTAAATATAACGTAAACATCCTATAAGAAGGTTTAAAATGGGCTTTCCATCATTTCAATTGATTCCAAAATGAGATAGCGCTAGTAAGGGCAGAAAATCTCAAGGATCTCTCCCATTATCTCACTCAATTGTTGGCCACAAATATACGTATTGAGTAGATAGGGACCATTTCAAACCTGCTTACTACTTTATTGACTCAAACACAAAAAAGTCTGGTCGATCTAATGAACTGGTCAAAGACCAATTCTCAATTGAACATGCACATATCCATTTTCACATAAAGGTTAGCCAGCTTTCTTATGTCTTGTGTTTAAACTTTGGTTATGTTACCTATGAAATGTTATTTTGTTTATAAACGACATAGGGGATTTCCATAAGGTTCACTTTTTATCTTATGTTATGTTTCATGTTATGGTATGTGTCTGTATAAACCCACCTTTAAAAAGGTATAGAAAGGACGTTTTTTATACGTTTGATTTAGTAGGTATTTCTTTTCAAACTTTCCGGTAGAAACAATTAAACAACATTTTCTCTAGACTCGTAAAAGTATGTTTCTATATATAGTTGAAATCAAATCCAAGGGGCAGTAATAACATTAACTAATAATTTTCATTACAACCTATCAAATATCCTCCTTGCATGCGCACTGGTCCTGGTAGGGCGTTTCAACCAATAGGAAGGCTGAATTACCACCTGGTTTTTGTTTATAATTTAGGTTACTTAATGTCATTACTGCCGCTTAGATTTGATTCAGCTATATCAAAAGTTATAAAACAGAGGCGTTTTTTAAACACCATTATTGAAACGTTTTTTCCCGGTACTCAGAAGTATGTTTCAATGAAAATTCATATAAAACACAAACGTTCTATAAAGGTTTCTGTTGGTAATTTTTAAAAATCATCCTTGAAAAATTGTATTCTAGTTAAATATGAGCTTTGTTCCAACCGACATGAGAACTGTTCCAGAATGGTAATTTCCAGTAAATCAATTCATTTGTTAAGTAGGATTAAACGTTCAACTTATTGAAAAATAGGTGGTCAACTGGGACGGTTCTCATGTTGGACATTCTTAAAAATACCATTTACAATGTTATTTGAGTTT